TTAAGCTCTTGCGGACCACTGGTTGGGAATCATTGATCTACATGAAATAAGTGCGTTTACGAAGGTGGTAGGGCTCTTTTTCTGCATAGAAGTATTTGTTGGTTCCTGTTACCTACTTCACCACACCGAATGTTAAACACGTAAATACCAGTGTGCTTTTAAATAGGTAGGAGACGAGTCTTGTTGAATCCACTCTTTTTCTTGGAATTACTGTTGATGGATAGTTTCAGTGGGGCCCCTATATATCTATACCAGGTAGCAAACTTAGTTCTGCAGCATATATTATTTAAAATGATTAGAAGCCTTACTTGTGTTGATACTGCTAGAATAGTTCATTCTTATAATTTCTACAGCATAATGTTGTTTAGAATTTTGCTAGGGGTTTAGATCTTTGTTTTTTTTTAATTTTCTAATGTTGAAACTATCTTCGTTTGCAGGAGATAGCCATAACTGCAATTTATAACCTAAATCCGAATGAAGTCTCTTAAAGAAAAATGTAAAAAAATAAATATAATAGTAATAACCTTGGAATTTATGAAAAAGTTAACATTTTATATTAAACTAGCTGGCCAGGCAGACATTGTTCTGCCAAAAATATTAAAGGTCACTTATCGGGATAAAAAGTATTGTATCCCTCAAGTTGGACCAAACTGCACACAGTGTGCAAAATTTCATTGAAATCAGTTGAGTAGTTTAGGAGTTAATCACAGACAAACAATGTGACACCTAATTTTTATATATAAAGATTATTTAATTGTAAACCATTTTTTGTAAATTATTATTTTTAAAGTACTGCTGATGGTTTTAAAAAGGAGTGATAAAAGCATAAATGCCATTAAAAATTATTCCTATAATCTATATTAAATAACAAATATTCTATTATATTTCTGCCATCAAGCAGTAATTCACCCATTACTTTAATATACTTTAGGACATAAGAGACACAATATAATTAAAGAATTTGAGGAATTTCTTCAGTCCTTACTCCTTAGGAATGACAATGCATCTGAAGCTTATGTTTGTAGCTGTTTGCTGGTGTCCCTTGTTACGGGGCTACAGTAGTCAGTAGCCCATTTACTATCTCAGGAGGACCATTGTCTTATTTGTTACACTAATATAATTAAGAGTTAGCTATAAATATATGTGAGCTGCTATGGTGACTTATCATCTGAAAATTGATTGCTAAGTTCATGTTGGGACACATTTAAAGGTTCTGGTTCTGCTGTGCACATTCTCTCTGTAATATGTTTGTAAATTTTGGATTATGTACAGTGTGTACTATGACTAGTCAATAGACTGTAGTGAGTGCTATTTTATAGATTTTCAGTTGCAAAATTGTAAAAAAAGTATGCACTTGTGGATTATGGACCATTATAATTTAGACAACCTTTTTCATAATACTCTGCTGTATATAGTATTTGTATTGCAGCAAGCTATACATGGAACCACATGGGCCACTCTGCAACTATTTCCACAAACAGGTTTGCACTACCACGATAGGACCACACTCTCACAGAATACTAGCTTAAAATAGCAGTGTGCTTCATATGGTGTGTGCAGAGAACGAACAAAGAAACAAGGCATTCCATCTTAGTCTTCAGGGGTGACAATGCACTTTGATCCTTAATCAAGGATAAATGTAGATGTCTATAGGACTGTGTGCTCGTTTGTCACCTTTATTCTAGATATATTAGTGAGAATAAATTTCATCATCATCATTCAACACAAGTCCAAAGGTGAACATAGGATGGTCCTGAGCCACCTACATCTCTTAACAGGTCATCATTTCATCTAGTGAGAGGCCGCCCTACACTAAGCTGGTATGAGGCTGCCACTTCAGAACTTTTCTTCCCCATTGGTTGTCAGTTCTTGAAGTTATATGGCCAGCCCATTGCCATTTTAGCTTACTGATCCATTGCAGTATATTGGTAACTGATTCTACTGCCAACATCCTCGTTACAAAATCTATCATGCAGAGAAACTCCGACCTTGAGTCATCAGTAGCACCACACACAGATTGTACACTCTTGATTTGAAGTAAGTTTTGTAATCCCCATAATGCAGTCCAGCAGGGTTAGATCTGTTGATTGACCTCTTGGTCGAGGTTGAAGTTACCTAGTCAAACAATTTGTCCTAGGTAAACATACTCTGTAACAACTTCAGTAGGGTAGGGTAGTAGAGCTTTTAAAAACTACGGGCATAGGTGTTACATGTAACATTACACATGACCCTTGTTTTGTCCATATTCATTTTAAGATCTATCCATTGCAAGCCACTACTGAGTTTATTGAGCATAGTGGTAAGGTATTCTAGCAATTCTACCATAATTACCATATCATTAGCAAATTGAAGGTGAATGTTGTACTTGCCATTGATTTTGATAGCATATCCTCCAATTAAGTGGTAAGAAGTTACAAGAATACAATGTCGCCCTCTCTTACACCTCTCTGCAGTTAGATATTCAAACTCAAATGCCTTGAAGCTTTACAATACAAACACTATAGCACTTCCATATACAGACAGGTGATTTGGCACTGCTGAAGAGACTAGACTGTATTGTAAATATTGATAATGTCTTACAGCAAAACCTAAGCAGAAGAATGATTTCACATCACACACATCATCAACAGATTTTAAAGTCTGTACATGTCTAAGCAAGCTAGACACTTCCTAGTGAGATTTGCCAATGCTCACTAAACTGGGCAAATTAGTTTTTGATTGTAAGCTAACACCCCACGACAATACTGCTGCTACCCATCATATGTCATAAATTTGGGTTCAGCAAATTTATGGTGGATGTTTTACCATCACTTGATTTCCAGAGTCTATACTGCCAGTGGCCAGGGTGCTTGGCGTACAAGTAAGGTTAGCGCTTAGCGGTCCACCCCACTCAGGTTAAATTGTTTTAAAAGATTTATTTTTGTAATATTATTATGTAATCAAAACAGAGTAAAGAAAAAAATTAAATGATCTTGTACTGCTTTTTAGTAAAATTAATTACTTAGGAGATTAATTGTATTATATAATGTGAAATATACAATAAATATCTTATGCCACTAATACAAGGCATAGAGAAAGAGGATATAGAAATAAAACATTATAGCATAAAAATTAAATATACTCCAATGTATTTCAAATCTTTATTGTGAAAGGCCAGTAATGAAACCTGATAGTTTTCGCACTGACCTATTACTACCCTAGCTGCTCAAGTTACCTATCCAAGGTTTCTACTTTTTAATCTTTTAAAGGGATTTACTACCAACAATAAACATTTATATAATTAAGAAAGCATGATATTTCTAATTTGTTGTAAGATATATCTGAATTTCTTTTAAAATTTAAATCTATAACAGGTAGAAAATATATTGTAAAAAATGAATATTTCATAAATATAATCAAAATTAATTTAGTTACTTCCCTATTAGAGTTTACTAAAATTCATACTCATTTAATTAAATGATATATTTGAAGTAAAACTTCTGTAGGTCAAATTACACTCAGATATTTTTTGGACAGAACTAACATTCAGTAAAATCTATGGACTACTTATGCAGTTTCCACATTCATGAAGCCAGCATTTAACTAAATAGTATTTCATAATTATATGTATTATTATACACATATAGTCAATTTTCAGAAATGGCTAAATTTATTTCTATTTTATTTTTATATCTTGAATTACTCATTCATTACAGCCTTTCAAAATCCACTGCTGAACATAGCCGTCCCTGATAGCCTAGTAGGGGGTTATTTTTACAATAATAAACATGCTTGGTGCCAGTTTTTCATTTTCTAGCTGTTTTTAGAAATATGCTGCTGCCTATATCCTTGTTTGTTTCCCTCTATCGTCTCTTACGACCAAATCATGGGGCGATATGGTGTAGTAGATATTTTTACACCACAACTGTCATACGTGGCTGAATAGTTATTATTATTTGTAGATAAATATTTTATTAATCAAAACAATAAAAATAAATACATTATAAATATTTTTAAGTTACACTCCAACAATCATATTTAAAAGGAAACAAATAATTAACCTATTTGTTTTAAGTTACTTCACAATAATTATTACCTATATACTTTATATAATAATATATATATCTTTATATATCAAAATTACGTGTCACATTGTTTGTCTGCAGTGAACTCCTAAAGTACTAAGCTGATTGCAATGAAATATTGCACACTTCATGTAGTTTGGTCCAACTTGAGAGATAGGATAGTTTTAATCCCTATAAGTGACCCTCAATATTTTTTATTGCGAATTTAAAGATTTTTATAGGAAGGGTCATTGGAAAGGGCAGAACAACGTCTGCCTGGTGAGCTAGTATATATATATATTAAACATTTATTTAGAGAAAGTATAAATTAATATAGAAATAAATTAAATTAATATAAATTAATACAGATGCACTCTATTCTCTCAATCTCGGTATGTTAAAAAATATAAAATAATCATGAATTAATCACATACATTTCTACTGTCATAAAATTATTATTGTTTTATAATTACTAAATAAAAAAATAAGAACTTTATGCCTAGTCAGGCAATACGGTTAAATCAAATACAAAAATTTGGAATACTTTCTTTTATTTAATAAATATTATAATTTCTATAGCAATACAGTAACAATTTTAAGTCTATATACAAGGAGATTAGATTGTAAGTAAGATATTTTTACCAAATTAAACTACACAAAATATTAATATAAATTATGATATTTAACAAATGTCTCCATGGATCCATTTCTTATTATGTTATTTAATTATATAGACATTATCTAACCACTTTTAATGTAAATCTAACTTACTATGCTCGGAAAAAGATAACTATAAACTACAAACTTATCGAACTTTCCAAGTTATAGTTGTAGTCGTAAAATTGTGACACTAGCTATATTGTGCCATAGTAATTAAAACTTCTACAACAATTATATAAAAATTTCAGTTAGTCACTAAGAAACTGGAAGGAAAACGATAGTTGTAATACCACTTACCCAAAGCTCGGTACCCCAATTCATTGTCGCAGCTGAGATATCACCAAAATTCCACTAAAAACATTGAATATTCACTAACACAATTATAGAAAATCTTATTATGAATTATATTCACAGCTTATTATTTTTCACCATTTAAATAAATACCACCTTTTCAAACACTAAACATGGCTGACTGACTAATCCACAGAATAAAACCAACTGACATTTTCACTCCGTGACATACAAACAGACTACCAAAGAGCAAAGAGTATTTTATATGATAGGTATGTTTCCAGACTACTCACTATTGGACTGAATTGCCAATGCCAAAGAAAGGAATGGAGTAATGATGGAATGATAGACATATACCATAGACTTAGAATATACTGGCGTATAGACGATCTGACAACCCGAAACGCGTAACTAATTTTGATTTGTCATTGTGTGCGTTAGCTGATGTACATTTTACTTACAAGGACTATAGAAAAATGGTTCTTAACGAAGTTGTAAAAAGATTTAAACAAATAGTTTAGTGCACGAAATTGAATAACTTCAAAGTTTAACTGAATTTTTACCATGATAATTCTAAAATAATTAAAAAATATTAATATTACATGTTCCTGGGAATAAGCTAAACCTACCTGCCTTTTGTTGTATTTCGATTCAAATATAAAAAATCCCAGGTGATTCTAATGATAAACTTAAAAAACTCCCCAAGGATCAAATCGGAAAGTTGTATTTTCAAGTTATGATCTTTGGAAAAATATATTTACTACCATGGACAGTTTCCCCGGAATTTCTTTTTTAACATATTGTTAATATAAATAGGCAGATACTTAAACAAGTACATATATACATATTTATATCTTATACATTTTATAAAATGTTTTGATTGGGAAATAAAAAACGGGGACACGGAGTATATAATGGCTGCTTTATTTTTCATATAAAAATTTCTTTTAAGCTTTTAATAATTTATAATTAAATACAAGAAGTATATTTTAACATTCGACTTAAATATGAATGTAAGCTTAATAATTTAAGTAAGGAAACTTGTAGGGATCAGTTCAATAAGATTGCTCTGTTTAAAGGCCAATATGTTTATAAGGCTTCATCATGCTTAATTTTTATATTCTTTCATCTGTCACTGAAAAGTATAAAGTAATAATAAACTTTATATCATTTTAGCTGCATGAATTTTAAAAACATAATGATCTTAACAGAGTAAAGTGCACCAAGTGTCTGAGGATACAGGTGCACTCTCTATTCTCTTAATCTCGGCATGTTAAGAAAATCGTCACTCATTCATGGACTGACCACGGCAAGTGCAACTTAATCTCGCAGATCTGTTGATCCGCGCAGCTATTACTTAATCACTACGACTAACGCTGTAGGCGATGAACCATGCTATATAAGCCTTCGGCACATTTTCATCAGTCATCAAGCATGAGTCGTGAGGGCATCGAGCGTTGTGAGTATCAAATACTATGGAATTTATACTATCCTGGCACATTGAACCGCGCGTCTCACGCGCGGGCGTGGCGCTTTAAGTGCATTATATTTTTTGGTTGATAAATAGATACTTAGTTGGGTTCATAGTGGCTTAGATACAATAATCTTAAGATATTTTATCTTTAATATACTACAGTTTTATAATGTATAAAAACCGGTCTTTATTTTTATCTAAAGTTGTGAAAGTTAAATTTTTGAAGTCTTATTATAATAATATTATACTTACGGGTACAAATAATGTAGAAATGGCTTCTTTTAATAAAATTGATTAACTCTACGTTTTTTTTATATACTTCTCAAATAAATGTTTGCTGCAAATTGTTGAGTTTTTCTTTACATTAGAAACAGAAACAGAAACAGAAACTTTTTTATTCAATATAGATTATAAATAATACTTATTGAAAGTCACTCTTTTGTTTGATTACCACTGGTTCGGATAAAACCTCTGTCCTGGGAAGAACCAGCAAGAAACCCAGCGGGACTTTTTTTAAATCATGATGTTACACAAATTAACAACACAACAAATTAGAAATAGCTTGGTAGCGATCACCTCATTTCCAGGGGTTATTATCATCCATAAATTCCTTAATATTATAATAACCCTTTTTATACAAACTTAGTTTAATAAAGTTTTTGAACTTTGAACAGGTCAAACTTTGTATATTTTCTGGAATTTTGTTGTAAAAGCGTATACATCGCCCCAAGAATGAATTACTGACTCGATGGAGTCGAGTAACTGGTACTACTAGCTTGTGTCTGTTCCTAGTATTTACAGAATGAATATCACTTATTTTTGTAAAACTACTTTTATTTTTGTGTACGTACATTACATTTTCATAAATGTATTGAGAGGCCAAAGTTAATATATTAATTTACTTAAATTTTTGTCGCAGCGACTCTTTAGGCTTTAAATCATAAATTGCTCTTATGGCCCTCTTCTGCAAAACAAATATAATTTCAGTGTCAGCTGCGTGTCCCCATAGCAAAATACCATACGACATTATGCTATGGAAGTAGCTGAAGTAAACTAGTCTAGCTGTTTCAACACTGGTTAAACTTCTAATCTTTTTTACAGCATATGCTGCAGAACTAAGTCTGCTTGCTAGTTTTGATATATGGGGGCTCCATTGAAGCTTCGCGTCTAGTGTGATTCCAAGAAAAATGGTGGTATCTACAAGACTCAGTTTCTCCCCATTTAAAATTACATTAGTATTTAATTGTTTGACATTTGGAGTCACGAATTTCATACATTTTGTTTTAGTGCCATTTAAATGCAAATTATTAACATCGAACCAATTTACTAATTTAGAGATAGCATTATTTACTTCGTCATATTTTAGTAACTGTCGAATTAATTTGAAAATTAAAGAAGTGTCATCTGCAAACAATACTATATCATGGTTATCCCCTACTATGTAAGGTAAGTCATTAATGTATACAAGAAACAGAAAGGGGCCGAGAATTGAGCCTTGAGGCACGCCCATTTGTACCATCGATCCGGAAGAGCTCATATTGTTAATGACAACATTTTGCGTTCTCTTACTTAAATATGAAATAATTAATTTAAGGGCATCACTTCTTACACCGTAGTGTTGAAGTTTCCTGATTAATGTTTCATGGTGAACACAATCGAAGGCCTTGGATAGGTCACAAAATATACCCAAAGCATCCTGTGAATTCTCCCATGCATTAAAGATATATTTAATCAGCTCAACACCGGCATCAGTTGTCGAGCGACCCCTTGTGAAACCAAATTGATTTTTATGAAGTAAATTATTTATATTAAAAAAATTTAACATTTGAACAAGAACAATTTTTTCAAAATCTTACTAAGTGTTGGTAGTACAGAAATAGGTCTAAAATTGGCGGGGTCTAATGTACTACCAGATTTAAATAAAGGTATTACTTTACTATCCTTCATTAAATCAGGAAACACACCAGATTCGATACTAGTATTAAAAATAATAGCTAAATGAGGCGCGATTGTATCTATTATAGACGCAATAACTTTAACGGAAATCCCCCACAGATCCGCAGTTTTCTTAACATCAATAGTTTTAAAATATTTTACAATATCTTTTGATGACACTTTATGAAATGTAATCTTTGTACACACATTTACATTTTGTTTAAGTAATGATTCGGCGACGGCAGGAGAAGAATGCAGTGACTTAGTGGTCAAGATCGGAATATCAGTAAAATATTTCTCAAAAACCATTGCTACGTCCTGATCTGATACAGTTAATTTGTTGTTAACACTTAACTGGTAATTTGAATTGCGAGAGTTGATCTTACCAGTTTCGCTATTAATTATACTCCATGTCATTTTAATTTTATTGGAAGCCGTCTTAATTTTGTTGCTCAAATGCAAAGACTTGGCTATGGAGCACACTCTTTTAAATATTTTTGAATATTTTTTTACATATTCCCTAAATTCGACGCTATGATTATATGACCTTTCATGGTAAAGATCATATAACCTATGCCTGCTCTTATGGACTCCTACTGTCGCCCATTCATTGAATGACTTCCGACTGTTCAAGGAGAATGTTTTAGAAGTAAAAGTATTATTAAATTCAATGCAAATAAGCTTAAATAATGTTCCATACAAAAAATTAGGATCATTTTGGTATGAAAGTGATGGAAGTTTTTTCACTATGTTACTTCTAAATTTCTCCAAGCGACGTGTATTTACTGGAACAGACACAACTTTCTCATCTACTTGCTTTTTGTGAACATAAGGTAACGAAACTACTTGTCCACAGTGATCAGAACTTAATTTTTGAATTATACATTTATGCAACGGCTTCACATTTGTAAAAATGTTATCTATACATGTTGCACTAGATTGAGAAATACGCGTTAGCTCTATAAATAAATTAAAAAGACCATATGATTTAAACAATGATCTAAATTTAATATTGATGGAGGAAGCTTCTAGGAGATTGATATTAATGTCTCCACATATTACAACAGATTTATTCTGTTTATTAAGCTTAGCAAAAACTTCCTCCATTATGTTTTCAAAAGTATCATATGTACAACATGGGGGTCTGTAGACGCTCACAACAATGAGGTGCTCAAACTCAACACATGCCATTTCTACAGTTCGCTCAACAGAGAGGCTCACAATGTCTTTACGTTCTTTACATGATAATAATTTACTAGCTAATATTAAGGGCTCCTTACCTCTTAAAACCGTATCTCTATTGAAAGAACTGACCACCTGGTGATTGCTGAAGTTAAACATTAAATTATAAGCTTTTAACCAATGTTCAGTAATACATAAGATATGAATATTGTTGCTATTTAAGAACGACTCAATTTCTAGCTCTTTGCCTAACATGCCTTGTATATTTTGATGCACCAGGTGTAAACAATTTTCATTATTACTCTGTGGAGTCATACAATTAAAGATTTGTAAGCTACATTCTAAATTATTTAAGTTATTATAACTGCTAGAGATTACCTCTATTGTCTCAGTTTCTAATTTAAATTACTTGGAACTGATTCCAAATGGCATATTAAGT